TGAACAATGAGATTGAAGTGTAATTCCTAAATGTTTATGACTTTGTACTTCCTCACTCAAAGTACTCTCCATGTATAAATTTGGTCTAAAACCAGAATCAACTTTGCGACTGAATGTTATAGTTTTGGTCTTATTGGGATTGAATTAAAGAATACTTGAAGTCTTGGTGTTATCGTTTGCAGGTTAGTTTTTATAGTTCAAAGGCAGAGCTACTCGCATCAATCGCGCATTTTAGGCCAGCGGTGGACACTCGCATTATTTTGATGACTCGTTCGTGTCATGATTTACAGTATTCATGAAAAAGATTTCAAGTAGGACAACCGCTCGGTGGAATAGAGGGACTTATGAGCAATAGACTTGCTACGTACTTTACTATATTCATGCAAGCTCACAGGAGGCTTGAACCAGACACAAAATAAGTAGGATTAAACTGGTATATCAAGATGACCTAAAACAGAATTAGGTTTGCTGTGTTCATATCAAAGTTTGCTGAATTGTTGTAAAATGTTCAGAGCCACAGCAAGGCAGCTCATTCTCATGGCGTGCTAGTCACAGTATAACTTGATAGAGGAGACCCTTCCCCTTGATCATCAGTTAACAGTTACACTATGGCTCATTGGCACAGACAGGCTTGGCACGGCTGGTTGGAGAACTGCAGGCTGCTGAGGCCAGTTAAGTTGATGGTACAACCAGATTAGAGAGATAATTTTACAAGTGCAATACCTCATTCCACAAAGTTTAAGAGATTTGAGACTTCATTAAAACTCGAGAATTAGTGTGTGTGTGTGTGTGTGTGTGGGGGGGGGGGGGGGGGGGGATGCGCATTTTCTATATAATTAAACTTATTGTAGTTGATTAAACAGTTAAAAGCAGTGACAGTTTGCAGCTGTGCTGAAGAAAAACATTTCCACAAAATCAAAGAGGCTGTTGAGTTGACCATTTTCAATAAAAATCTTACGAACGGCTTCTGACAGTCTGAGAACCCGGGCCTTTTATCTACAAATTGTTTCAAATGCCACATTCAGATTCATGTGTGCGTTCTATACTATCTGTGAGCTAGACTAACGCTTAGTCTCTGGAAATATACAAACTTGACAGACACATCACAACATTTAAATTGAATAGGAGCCCAAGTAATATTGGCGATTCAGACCTTCCGAAAATTTGGACTTGCTTAGTTTAGAACTACAGTAAACTACGGTTATAACGAACTCAAAGGGACTACTAATTTTAGTTCGTTATAACCGTAGTTCGTTATAAGTACATATACAGCATGAATACAGCAAGTAGTCGGGACCAAAAAGTAAGTTCGTTATATCCGTACAGTTCGTTATAAGCGTGTTCGTTATAACCGTAGTTTACTGTATCGCATTACAGTAAGGGCTGGGTGGATGGGAAAATAGTAAGGTTCGGGAACTGTGAGAAAGACAAGGTGCGAGCATGTATCTTCACAACTGGTGAACATTATTATCCTGTTTTCGTTCTGGCGAACCGCTCCTACATATAGCTGTATGAACGTCATTTTCTCATCCGTTTCGACTTGGCCCGTTTGCGAAACACTCAATTATTTTGTAGGCTAAAAGTTCTGGTACTAATATTGGTGAAACTAATATATCATCTGCACATGACATTTGAAGTTATGAAAAAAGCAAAATTTCCAGCGATTTTTAACTGCCCATCAGTTACCCCTTATACGTGACCTATATTGAAAACCCAAACAGTATGGTATCTGCAGAAAGTGCAGACCGTGGATAATAATCTCAATACAGACAAAGAAAGGCAAAGGTGAAAAATGATAAAAAGAGTCCACAACGAAAAAAGGCATCGAGTCCACATTTAAGCTGGTCGCGGAATGTTTCGACTAAGTTCTATTTATGGGTCCTTGCAATTGGGTGGGGTATTACCTCTGTGAATGAATTCTAGAACCTGGTAGTTTTACATATTTCAAGGAATTCATCTGGGTACTTCCAAACATATTTTACACTCCTAAGGATATGCGGTGATAATTACCAATGATTATTTTAATGGTATTCGATAAAACTAAAGACGGTAATATCTTGCATTAGCAATGTTTATTTCTTTATGCATATTAAGTATTTCTATATAATGCCTTCAAAGCAACTTAACGTATTTTTGACTGGCTTAGCAGCAAAACAAAGCACAAACACTGTCGATCCTGGTTGCCAAGCACTTCCTCTTATTATACATATGACTCATGCCTTAGAAACAGAAACAGTCGCGATGGATCATATGCAAATCATCTATGTATTCTTTCAAGATTTTACGTTGTTCAGATTGTGAGGTACTGGCAAAATATGATTTGCTGGTGATATTGTTGATTAAAATAAGGTACAACGGACAATATACATATTATATAAAAGGAAAAATTTAGAACGGTAACAGACTTTAATATATATATATATATCCAAGATGACATACATAGAGCAATGTGGGGCACATCCAGTACCTAATGTGTACGGGAGATATTTATAACTTTAATTCAACCTCTTTTAAGTCATTTTTCCTTACAAAAACGTAACCGTAAGACACAATCTTGCGGAATACAACCTGTAAACTTCTGGTACACTGCCACATGACCACATAGCTTACAATTAATTGGCATTCCTGTTAGAATGGTTTGAGTGGTAGCCCTGATATCCTTTTGCATAGACACCTTCATTTCGGAATGTGACAAGTATCCTGTTGACAATAACAGAAAATGGTCGACTACATTATAATACTACGCAGATCACTGTTTACAGTTTGAGGTAACTAGCGTGTGCAAATGAAAAATGGGAATCCCGAGTCAATGTGCTCAGGTCAGATGATAATTAGGGGGAGGAAGAAAGTATAAAATATAATAAACATAGTTTTCTAACTTGCATGCAATATCAGAAATCAATATCTGTACATGTTCTCTGGAACAATGTACCAATCGGTCACCTTGTACAAAGGCAAGTTGTGATTGCCGGCATGTTATTCAGTTTTAGTTTTATATTAGATTGCGTATTTGTTGGTTATATTTGACTGCGAAAGTAATATCCATTTTCTACACTTTAGCCGTTCCTGGGCATACCGCTCTGCTACTTTTTTGCCTAAAACTCTCACCGCTATCATGACGCTATTTAATTAGATATGCACGAGCTTCCAGCAGTTACGACGTGTTACGTACGTTCTGTCAATTAGCAGCGAACTCACGCACGCGCAGAACGGCGAATTTGTGAAGGGATTAAACAATCCGCATATACTGAACGGTAGAATTCAGCCACGAGCAGCTCGTCACAACTCCGGCCTGTAATCTAACACGCGGGAGCTGACCAATGAAAGCTGAGCAATATAGATAAACGATGTTACTTGTACGTTCCGATGACGACGTTATTTGGACGAAAAAACAATGGTTAGAAAGCGTACAGTAAGATAGGACACCAATATATACATATTGATTTGACAACCTGAAGTATTCCGCCTTGTTACATAAATTTGTTTTTTTTGTATAGACACAGTGACAGATCTTTCAAAGATCACAACTTTAGTTCCATCAACATCAAATAAAACTGTCATCAGCAAACAGCATTAGTAGTAGCCTTATACATATCCCAATCTCGTTAAAACACAGGTATTTACAATGTCAAGCCAATGTTATAATATAATTGAATTACTCTGTTCAGTGTTTTACGTCAAATCTCTTTGGTTAAATTGTCACTTGAATTCGTTTGTCAAACCTAATAATCTCGATAATTATGAGGACATTCTGAAAATAAATGTAACCCAAGACGCCGAATTTTGCAACACACAGTTGCGTACCTTCCGCGCTACCGGTTCCTATGATCGTCGCTCCGAATCTGAGATTCACCTAGATAATCGTTCTCGAATTCTGAGCACCAACCCGTGTTAAATTGTAGAGATGTACTACTTTGTCAAATACATGGATTACCTGCATGTTGTTAGAAGTTGTAAAGATAACAATAAAACAATAAAGGAAAAATGCACAAATGACGTTATGGTAAAGCATTTTATACATACAAAGTGTGAGTTCGTAACAACAAGCTCATTGTCATGGACGACTTAATATGCAAAACAATCTTAAACAAATGTTATTCTATGTTTGTTTGATGTTGGAAATGCTCGGCAATATTCTAGCTATGCAATGGCGGTTTCCCCTTTCGACCAGCATAGGTTTGGGTAATACACTGATAAGTTGCAAGGCCGAAAATGTGAGGCCAAGAATACTATGATCTGTAATTTTCTTCATAAAAGAACTGCCAGGCGAACGAAAGTATGCTGTTGAACATTGGCATTACAGTAAACTACGGTTATAACGAACTCAAAAGGACCACTAATTATAGTTCGTTTTAGCCGTAGTTCGTTATATGCATATATACAGAGTAACTACAGCAAATAGCCGGGACAAAAACGTGAGTTCGTTATATCCGTCAGTTCGTTATCAGCCTGTTCGTTATAAACGTAATTTACTGTAAAATAAAATTACAATAAAAACACTCAAGCATCCGTCTCTTAGTAAGATTGTTAAGTTCTTTATCGTTTAAATCACTTCATGTGTGATGCAATGTTGTATATACAATCTGTTCTATATATCATATGCTTAAAAGTATTCACCAAAACTGTGTGACAAATATGGAAACATTTAATTTTTTTATTTGATCTGAATCTGTATCTGCATCTGAATCTCTATCTGAATTCAAGGGAACGGCATTCACAATGAGACTAGTTTGTAATAATGATGTGAATTGTTCTGGATACGTGTCTGTATTGATTTCACACAAGCAAGCTATCTTTATCTTTAGAAAATTGGGGGCACGGGTGGCCCAGTCGTCTAAGGCGCCGCGATTCGCTGTGCAGAGTTGCGTCCCTTGGGTACGCCAGAAACCTATGATTGTGGGTTCGAATCCCGGTTCGCCCCGATTATGTTTCTAGGTTTGTCAGCACCATACCCGTGCTCGTGGGTTTCACCGAAGTGGTAAACGTCTGAGACCTGCATGACTTCGGGCTTTCCTCCCACAATAAGCTGACAAGCCGTGATATAACTGGAATACTGTTAAAAGCGGCGTTAAACCCAACTCACTCACTCACTCTTTAGAAAATTGCATCTTTTTCTCTTGTGTCGTTATTATTTTCAGTTTCGCCCGCTCTTTCCCCTGACTCAGGTTCAAGTGGAATCAGCTCAACAGGCGATGCATCTGTAACGTCTTCGTCGTACGCATTCCTGTAAGTAAAGAATTGGGCGTTTCACAGCTGTACTTGTACATATTCACTTCATGTTATGTACAATACCGTCGTGGTTGTACATTGAAATGCAAAGATAAGCATGTTTCTATATAAAGGTCCCAGTGACACTTTGCAGCTGAATGTATGGGACGTAATCAGAGTAGTGTTGTGTTTTGCAATTTAAATCAGTGGCATACTGGGGGATGCAGATATGATTGCTTGCAGGGATCGACTCCAAAGCCAAGGTTTTAAAATATTTGTCCAGATGAATGAAACCATACACGAGAGTGCGTGAGTGAGTTGGGTTTAGCGACGCTTTTAACAGGGTTCCATTTATATTGCGGCGTGTCAGCTAAATGTTGGAGGAAAGCCCGAAATGATGCAGGTCTCAGACGTTTACCACTTCGGTCAAAACCCATGAGCACGGGTATGGAAACTTGGACTGAATATGCAATAAGATTAGGCTGAAACGTGATATGAATCACAGTCATGCTACTGAAAGTGGCTGGAAATGTTAGTAAATCTCGTTTGAGACAAATATGGAGAGTAGACTGGAATTAAACATCGAACAGACTTCCCATACCTGAGATTGAATCAGCTACTGGGCGTAAACCAATCACATGGGTGAATTCATGCTGGGACTGATGGGATAGTTATTAATACTAGATGTACTTACGTCCCGAGCATCTCAGCTTCCTTGATGGTTTCCGGTAGCTTCTTGTTCAGCGTTTCCGGGAGAAGCAGAGTCAGAAAGGCCGCCAAGATGGTGATTCCCCCGAATATCAGCATGGGAAGAATTTGTCCGAAACGTCCTGATATGTACATGGTCTGAAATGTGGAAATAAGTGTAAATGCTTTATTTCATATGATGACATCAAGGTAAAAAGTGTTGGCATTAGTTTAGAATTACGCTTCGTACATTGTCATATTTACCGTTTATGTGAAGAAATGGCAAAGGCCACGCAGTATGTTCATGTCATCCGGTTGTCTAAAACCCTAGTTCTACTGCACGTATTGTTCGACGGTATTTGCTCAATGTCTCAGTGGGTACAATGTGTGAAGCCCATTTCTGGTGTCCCCCGCCGTGATATTGCTGGAATATTGCTAAAAGCGGCGTAAACCCATACTCACTCACTCACTCACACACTGTCTCAGCCACGGCTATAGTAAAACCTATCGTCATCGAAGGTGCGTCACGTTAAATATTAACAACATTCCATCATCTCATCATTCTTACCCATTAAGAAGTCGCGATGAGTTTTGGGAACTACTAAAATATAAATTGCATACAATCAAAAGGATTTCGTAAAACTCACCAAGTCAACAATATAGGGCGAAAGTAGACTTCCAACTCTACAGCAAATGGAACTCATTGACATGCCAAATGTCCTTGATGTCGTTGGCATGAGTTCAGCTGTGAAGGTGTAGACGGCACACATGGCAGCAGAGGCACACGTGTTTCCTACAATGGCGAGGATGTTGATGGCCCACTTCTCAGCTGATGGACAGAGAGGCAGAATTTGTTCGTTGAATGAAAGGATTCTTTGCAAGAGGCAAAACGGAATGTGTATTCTTACATGATTGCATCTTGCTCTTTTTCCATCTTCATCTTTCTTATTTTATTTTATTAAAAAGAATTTGATTTCATCAACATTAGTCTAATTGTGAAATGAACATAAGGACATTTCTACATGCTACACATACAAATTAAATAAGCCTGTGAACTATTTAAGCAATTTTTATGTTTCCTGTAATTGGTGAGGTGAAATTGTGTTCAGCATCGCGTTCAAGGTTATTTCACTTACACAGCGACGGGCATGCACATGTATGTGTGGCTGTTTGAACGAGTGCGGTTTGTAGTTATTGCCTATTTTATGGTGCTTGCCCGCTGAACCCCACTGAGACTTATTATACTGACCCTGAGTCGGCCAGTCCTTACTTTCTCCCCTTATTCCCGAACGCTGGGAAACAAGTACCATTTTTAACATACTTTTATAGGACGCGGCCAGGGTATGTAATCAGACGTGGTACAGATATGTGTTTGTATGTGTTAATTCTAGAAATAACACATTAGATTTAGTTAGGCAGAAAAAAGCAAAGACACGCTCTGTAATAAAGCTATTCAAGATTTAACTTTTTACTGCAATGTCCTAACTTAAACAATTACCTGTCATAAGCATGCATATGTGTGAATTCTGAAAATGAAACATTAGATTTTATTCAACTACATTTGTGTTTTATGATATTAACACTTACGCGTATCTGAAACTAGTACTGGAACCAAAGGAAGAATGCATGCTGCTCCTGTTAGCGACAGCGATATACATAGCAGCAACTTGCGGCCAATACGATCCATTACGACAAAACAAGAAATGTATGCAACAGCCTCTACTGTGATGAACAAGAAGAAGTTGAGGTAGATGCTACCAGAGAGGTTGGACACGTTCATGCTGAGGCCGTAGAAAGCCATTCCAACTGCAAACCTGGAGAGTCATCAAAAGATGGTGAATTGACAGGAAGAAAAGGAATTTTTATAAAATTAGAATCACTTGTGAGAGAGGAAATTTACTAGGTCATTGGGACATAAGAACAAATTTAAAATCGTCCTCGTCGACTTGCACACACCGAGAGCAACGTATGCCAACGTTAATACTTTCAAGAAACTTCACAAGAAGATGTTTTAAAAACTACTATTCAAATAGTTAATTAATACGAAGTGACATTAACGATCAACGCCTGCATCTGTTACAAACATTGTTAATGTAAATGACTGACTGGAGTGAATCTGTTAGTGTGTGTCTACGGAATCTTGTTGTCACATACTGTACACTTAAACACCCGAGATCGGACCCAACTCGTACCAATTATAGCAGATGATAATCATTCGACGCATCATCACTGAAGACTTCAAAAGATTCCAGAATGGTTCTTGCTTTACCTCTTCCTTTTTAATATCGACCTCATCAAGAATATTTGGATCTATTTTCACTTTGTTTTTCTTCGCAATATTTGCTACTATCCTTTTAGCCTCTTCCATCTTTCCATGTTTGAGAAGCCATCTTGGGGACTCTGGGATAAAACTGTATAATGGTTAAATATAATTATTGTTATCATAAATAAATGGACATGGGTTTCCTGTAAACCTCAGGAAGATATACTGAAGCATATATTCACGCTATAAAACAAATACTTGTATGAATAACTTTAATGCAATTTATAATATAGCTCTATGCGTACAATATGATATCACAATATTAAGTCGTAAATGAAGCAGTAAGCAGAGATTACAGCTCATGTGAAAACATTAAAGTGAATAAATAAGAAAGTATACTTTCTTCAGAAATCATGCATACAAATTGACACATCAAATTCCGATGCATCTTTCAAAGCATCCTACGATTCTTACTCAAAGTTTGTTCCATCACGTTTACAACATTCAACTCTTTTGTGAAGCTTCAAAAACCGTTTATGGTAGACATTTGGAGGACAATTCCAATTTTGACTCTTCATTGAACAAAATTATGTCTGATGCAATTCCCTATTATGACTTGTATCATATATTATCGTGTGTATTTTTCAGGTGAACAATTACCTTACTTGTATGTGTTTATGGGACTGGATACGCTCACCTTGTGGAGAACACCTGGCATCACTATTTAATAGTGACTCATAAACACATGCGTACGATTTGGAGATGAAATCGTACAATGGAATCTGCTTGTGGCACAGATTTCTTATGATTATGGAGAGGAAGTGTTTTGTCGCTTTCTTTCAAATCGTTGTTAGTATTTTAATACAACATTTAAAATAACAAATCTACCGTGTCCTTATTATTTCGGTTTAATAAGTATTTGCAAGTGGTACAATTGTAATCTTTTTTCACGAACACAGTACATCAGATTTACAGTAAATAAACCTACTACAGGTAAGCAAAGACAACCGCAGGGACACTGACAATCAGCTGTCGAGTCTTCCAGTCCCTGAAGAGATAGGCCGTTAGAGCTGTGACCATGTTTCCCGCACTCCAGAAGAGGTTCATAGCAACACCTGCCCACATACGCTTAGAGGGACCGACTATCTCCATGCCTGTTTGTGGGATAAATGGTTAGAATTTATTGTTAGTTATACACTGGATAGGTAAAATACAACTAGTGTCCTCAATACCCCACTGGTCTCATGATATCTGGTTTGCGTCACACGAGTTGACTTCTCAAATAACGTGAGTGAATGATTTTAATAAACACAGTAGACAATGATACTCAAGCTTTATTACTAAGTATAATTAGTCTGGAAAAAGCAAACCAGTGACTGAAATCGTCAACGATGATCCATGCTATCAGAGGACAAAACCACCTCTGCCGTTTATGCTTACACACATAATCCCCGAGGGAATATAGAATGATCAAAATCACCTGTTGGGCAAACAATCTTTCTGAGAATCGTAGCTGATAAAAACTTTGGATCTATAAGAGATCATCAAAACAATCTATTGCCTTACCAAAAACGAAGCACACGAGATATTGGCCAAGAGTGCAGGTGTGGATGACGAAATCAAGGAAGAGGACCACAGGGGCTGAGCTGGACCACACCAGACAGATGCTGAGCAACACCATGATGAACATGTTGCAGATTATAACTGGCCTTCTTCCAAACCTGCATAAAACACAAGATGTTAACACACATCATCATGCCAAACGGCTTTCAGTCCTTTAAATGTTTTCACAATTGCCCTATGACTTCATCGAAGAGCTAAAAGGGTTGCCAATAATAACATGCGAAAACCATCACGATGGGGCTCCAATAACACAGGGGGAGGTGTGTGTCTGGGGGGTGGGGGTGGGGGGGTGGGGGGGTGAAGGGGGGCCCAGTCGTCTAAGGCGCTGCGATTCGCTGTGCAGAGTTGCGTCCCTTGGGCACGCCAGAAACCTATGATTGTGGGTTCGAATCCCTGTTCGTCCCGATTATGTTTCTAGGTTTGTCAGCACCATACCCGTGCTCGTGGGTTTCACCGAAGTGGTAAACGTCTGAGACCTGCATCACTTTAGGCTTTCCTCCCACTATAACTGTTAAAAGCGGCGTTAAACCCAACTCACTCACTCACTCCAATAACACACTTTGGATATTAATATGTTGCATATTGAAAATGCTTAATGGATATGACCTCTATAAATTTATCGAATAATTCGAACAGTTTGCCTTAAAATAACAAGAAGAAACCCTGAATTGATTGATAGGCATGTCTTAGAAGTTGACGACAAAGTAGACACAATTTATGGATAAACAACTTCTTTATTTTACTATCAAGGTGACGCTTTGGCATAGATCCTTATACCGTTGTCAAGCAAGGATACGATTATTATGATAATTGGGTTCCGATAATTGTTTTTAGATATTAATATTTTGCACATCTCAACTTCACAAAGAAGCCAATTGAGGTGGAAGTGCACCACCATGGGTCAAGCAATCAAGCAATCAATCAAGCAATCAGGCAATCAAGCAATCTTTAGTCATGCTTTCAATCACAGTTTTGGTGTCCAGATTCGACGATATCGCCGTCATGAAACTGATAAAGTGCTAACTGTGGCCTCAAAATTACATGCATTCACTCCCTATCTCCTGTCTAATGTAGTCTGTCAAGGCTACTCACATGTCTGACATTGGACCATTAATCAGAGCTCCAACCAAATGTCCAAACATACCGAGCATCTTGGCATGACTCGCGTAGGACTTTTTCTCGCAGACAAAATCCATCTGAAAAGAATACAGTTCAAACAGATTCTATCTAAATAATTACATTCGTCGTACATATTTAATAACCATGGATCTGTACACATTTCAAGGCAGTCAAAGTGAAAATATCCTTTAATAGCTGAATGGCTTTAACACTTCTTAGCATTGATTCATGACAAAATGCCACATAAAATCGATATCACATGTATTAAAATGTTTGTCATGGGATACGTTTTGCTTATTGCTTACAACTTACCGTCTCTGAAATCGTTGATATGAACTGTGATTGATCGTACACCCAAGCATGACAGGGTCCTGTGACATTTCTTGTAGACGACCAGACATCGGAGGTATTGGTTTGTAGATACAGTTGGCAGCGGGAATACTTGTCATCACCATAGTAACCAGATGTCATAGGAATGGAGCGGTTTACGAGTTGTTCGTGGAAGTTATTCTGAATTTCGTAGGTGTCATTGGCAAATCCTGGAATGGCGCATCTGTAATTGGAAATAACATGACGAGCGTCAGGGCAAGATGAACGTGTAACAACTTTATTATGTTAAACAATTGCTTTTCGGGTGAACAATTGACTTGCCTTTGCATGTGTGTATGACAGGTGCCACCGGTGGGACAGGATACGTTCACCTTTTCGCGAATACCCGATATTATCACTATTTGATAGTGATTCATAAACACATGCTCATGTAATAGTAGGAATCGTACAATCGACTTTTTCTTATGAATATGGAAAGGGTTTTGTCGCTTCTATTTCACAACAACAGAACTAGAATATGTACTACTGAGTAAAATATTCAATAGAAAATAACTTTAAATATTACATAAGGACTGTCATCAGAAAATGAAGACAGTCATGGCATCTGAATAAAACACATCTTTTAACGTCAACTTCCCCAATAAAATTACATTATGGTCACAGTTTTGTATTCATCTAGACGTCTTATGGAGATGTCATCTTTATGATATAAACATGTCATCTTTCGTTCGTAGTAATACAACCTTAAGACATGGCATCCACACCGGTTGCAAGGTGCTATGTTTATACGATACATGTACATATAAAAATGAACGGTAAAGGGTTCATTGTAAGGTATATTCCTCAATACTGCAAATACTCGTGAGGGCTTTTTGTATCCCTAACAAGGGTTACGAAAAGTTCGCTGTTGACAATAAGTGGAATCATTTTTCGTTTTAATTTAAGCTGCTTCTGAATAGCAATTTATGTTTTTCGGTAACTTTCAAAAAATACCTCCCTTTAGTTTTACCTGCGGTCCAACACAGTTGGAAACATGAAGAAACTCTGTAGAAGGTAAAACACATGTATGTAGTGCTATGAGACGCATTAAGCAAAACACAAACACAATTTCATGTATCCAAGTGAAGGTGTAGCAGGAATAAACTTTTTACACGAATGACTTTACTTCTTTATGTTCTCTCACGAACATTCGCCCTGACATATTTCTGCTAAGGCCTGTCAGTACATAATATGTTGTATACTGTGCGGCAGAATAGAATTACACAAAATGTACCTGGCTGAGGATTGTAACGATCCGATTTCTATGTTAGTTTGGTTTAAACACTGTTTTCAACCTTGGCATACATTGGCTACAGGTTATAACACCATGTTCCGTATTCTCCAGATAGTATTTGCATCATATGTTTATGGTGATAGGAACGAAAACTCAAGAAAAGAGGAAGGATGAGAAAGGACGAGTGATGTTTGTTAAATTGTCGTAAATTCTTATGTTTACCCTGTGTAAATTGGTCCATTGCAAGGAAGACCTGTCTTGCAAGTCGAAATAATATTTCTCTCGTTTGAAGAATGAATAAGATAGAAATTATTTTCTCCTAGCGGTATGTCAATCAAGGTGATTATGTCCCCCTAGGTCGCATGATTAAGGGAGTATATAAGGGGTGGTACAATTTTAAATTGTTCTCTCTCGCTCACTGTGCATGCACGGCCTCACACTTGTTTTCTTCAATATGGATACAGAAGCTAAACTGGACGCCATTTTGCAACAGCTCAATTCGAATAGAACAGAGTTTCAATCCTCTCTTAATGAGAAGATTGGTTCATTGAGAGAAGAGTTTATAGAGACGTCAAGAGATTTAAAGAAGTTGAAAGCAGAAAAAGATTTCATATGGTCAAGAGAAGGGAATAAAATTGAATGTGCGCCAGTAAGCAGGACAGCTACCAGGTTTGTTGGCACGGTCCAGGGCAGATTCAACTTATAAAAGATATAGCAATGGATTTGCTGCTTGGAAAAGGTGGGCAAACGCTAATAATAGGTGTGATCAGTTGCCCGTTTCACATTTGCATTGTGCTATTTATCTGTTGTCGGTTGTGCAACAGAGTGAAACATTATCACCAGTGTTAACGGCATTTTATAGTTTAAGGCATGCTCATTGTAACATTGGACTAGAGAGTCCCACTGAAAATAGCCTTGTCAAGAATGTTTTGGAAGGAGCAAGGCGCAAACTGTCTAAGCCAGTGGTTAAAAAAGAGCCAATCACAGTTGATATACTTGAACGTTTGTATGATTCAAAAATGATCAATGCATCTTTAATGGATCTGCGAATAGTATCTATGTGTTTATTAGCTTTCGCCGGATTTGTAAGATCGACAGAATTAATTCATATATTTCGATCTGATATTTTGTTTTATAAGTCACACATGGTCCTTTTTATTGAAAAGTCAACGACGGATATATACAGGGATGGCGCATGGCTTGTTATTAGTAGGACAGATTCATCCAGATTGTGATCAGTACATATTCAGGAATGTAAGCAAATGTCGTTCAGACTATGTTCTTAGAAAGGACAATGCTCCACTGTCTTATACTAGGTTAAGGGAACTATTTATTGATGCTTTAACTCCCTTTGTTGACAATATCAAGAAGTACAGTCTGCACAGCTTTTGCAGTGGTGATGCTACTGCAGCTGCAAATAATGGTATACCAGATCGTATGTTCAAACGAGATGGTCGTTAGAGAAGCGAAAACGCTACAAATTGTTACATCAAAGAGAGTATTGATAACAGAATGAAAGTTGCGCTTTCCTTAGGCATATAACTTTCTTTGTACATCTCGGTCGTGTATCACAAAGCGTATTCCCATGTTAATGGTGTTGTGTCTTGATTATGTATGTAGGGGATAAGGAGAAATAATATTTCTCTCGTTTAAAGAATAGATACTTAGACATTATTTTCTCCTAGCGATATGTCAATAAAGGTTATTATGTGCCCCTAGGTGGTGTGATTAAGGGAGTATATAAGGGGTGGTACAATTTTGAATTGTTCTCTCTCGCTCACTGTGCATGCACGGCCTCACACTTGTTTCTTATAGTTATTTGATGTACATGTATATAGTAAAAATTGTTCTTCATTTTATGATTTTTTTATTTCATGTGTTGCAGATAATCGTGGAAATGGAATGCACATTTGAGGGTAATGTGTACTGTTGTAAGTGATGCTATTTCTTGGCTGGCGAGTCTTTACAATACAGCGTTGCTACATTGAGAAAATCCATTGTTGGATGCAGTGATGTTGCTTTGCCGACGGGCCTTTATAATACAGCGTTGCTTTATTGTGAAAGTGTGCATTGTTGGATGCTATGATATTGCTTGGTTGGCAAGCCTTTATACAGCGTTGCTTTATTGTGAAAGTGTGCATTGTTGGATTCAATTATATTGCTTGGCTGGCAAGCCTTTATAATACAGCGTTGCTTTATTGTGAAAGTGTGCATTATTGGATGCAATGATATTGCTTGGCTAGCAAGCCTTTATCATGATCATACAGCGTTGTTTTTTTATTGTGAAAGTGTGTATTGTTGGATGCAATGATATTGCTTGGCCGTCGGGCCTTTATAATACAGCTTGGCTTTATATGTAATTTGTACATCTGTTAAAACTGTATCATTTTGCTGCAGAGCCCTTATATCACATATCATCAAAATAAGACCATATATACTAAGCTGAAGAGCTATGATAATACTGCATACACATACTATGCGAGTTGCACTGTATATAATAGATTATACAATTAATTTGTAACATATGTTCATGAATTGTAAGTATTTCTGTTTGGACTTGCATATACATGTCATGAGTATACTGTATACCCTCCAGCATTTGCTGCTGCATCCGTTGAGGGAACACGGTTCCAGATGTTTTCTTCTAAAAGTTCTTATATCTGGTTTTACGTGTCGGGCTTCAGCAAAATATAAATATTCATAGCAGATTGCTGACCATGTATATACAAATGCGTAGAAATGAATATCTTTGTCTTTTACGACACGCAAATAAATCGGCCGTGTATCACACAGCGTATTCGCATGTTTAGGCCCATGGTGTTGTGTCTTGATTAGGTATGTAGGGGATAAGGAGAAAGGAAATGTGAAATATGGTGTCTTAGAAAACTATGATCGTGGGTTCGATTGCTCCTTGAATGATTATATTTTCTTGGTTTGTCAACACCATACCGGTGTCTTATTGTTCTAAAACTAGTTTTAAAGTTATAATCTGTGATATATTGTTAGTTGTTATACTGTCCTTTGACGACAGTTTTTTTATATATGCTATAACTTGTTCAAGTCACGATATGGCTGAAATATTGCCGATGTGACTTTAAATATTAACTCACTCACTCACTCACTCACTCACTCACTCACTCACCCATACCGGTGTCATGGGTTTCACCAAAGTGGTAAACGTCTCAGACCTGGATGGCTTCGGGATTTCCTCCCACATTAAGCTGACACGCCATGACATAACTGAAATACACAGTGCAAAGCGGCGTTAAACTAAACCTATTGGTAAGTAGTGAAGAAACTAGTTTCTGTTGTTCTGTTTTAGTAAGAGTTCTCGGTACGGATACCCGAAGTCGTCTCTTGTGCCAAGGTTGTGGATATTGCAACCAAAAAGATCTACAAGATCTTGGAACTGACTGATAGACCGTATTATTATTGGCGGCTATGTGTCATCTCCCTGAACGAGCCTATCCAATCTTTTTTCAAAAGCCCCGCTGCATAATATTGTGTTGCCTTTGTAATTTTACATGTGGGTATGAATATACTATATATCTTTAACTCAAGAAACTGTTTGAAAACAGAGAGAGGACAAATCGTATTTATAAGCATATTGATTGGGCATTAGATGGAGCATCTGTCCGAAAAGCGGGAGGTCGGATGTTCGATACCCTCCCGCGTCATACGAGGGCTGATTTGATAAAATCAAGGGCAGTAGTAGTAGTAGTAGTAGTAGTAGTAGTAGTAGTAGTAGTAGTAGTAGTAGTAACAGAGTACATGCATAGCTTGGTACCGAGTCTTTTCTTCTTGTGGAAACATGTACTGCTAAAATCGTTTTCTTGTCATTCATTTCGAGTAACAGATGATTATGCGTTTTAAGTTGGTTTTTTTCAGTTTGGTAAGATTTCAAATCTCAGAATTAATGACAATTTATACTTGTATATTTTTAGCAAAGAAAATATCTGCAAAACAGGTTTCGTAAAATTAAAAGCCAGATACCCTAAGGGTTTATTCCATGTTTGTTTGTTTGTTTTGAAAAACAAGCACTCATTCTTTATACATTGCAAATTGGTATATCTATCTTAGCACTATTGTACACAGTTACAGGTCAATTCCTGTAACCTTGTAAATGGACAAGTCAGCATTTCGAAGCAGAACGTTTGATGTATTTTCATTATAAATAAGTCTTTATGTCGGAGCGTCGGCCTTACACGTTGCGAAACGTGTGCACGGGGCATGTCGCCGTCTTTATAAAATTATTGACACTATTATAAACACTATAAGGGTCAAGGCAACTTTTATCGCATCCGCCGTCGTGGTCGAGTGGTTCATGGCATAAATGAGATCGGTATCAAATATTCTTTGGATACCACTGACTCTTGTCCCAGTTTGATATTTGTAAGAGAGGTTTAAACTGTATATTAAGTAAGCTACACCCTGAAGGTTAACGATCGGAGGCGTGACTACGAGAAATCTTACTGTGGGAGACCTAGACTGTCGTTTCAATGCAATTCAACTTCACACAAAAGAAATGTGTGGTTATCAAGGTCCCGGCCATTGGCTGTATATATGCTGTGTAATGCCTAATACCAACTACGGTTATCACGAACTACAATAAGGGGTCCTTTGAGTTTGATAAACCCGTAGTATACTGTATAAAAGGTGACTGCAAGAAAAAGTAATGTATGAGACATAGAATATCGTTGGAATACGGGATTACTTCATATAAAGAAATGTGTGTTTACAGATATTACTTTGCATGATTTCCAGTAGTTTGTACAAATATTGCCTAATTTAAAGATGAGTAGTTTCTGCTAATTGTCAACATGAACATGAACAAAGGTAGATCTATTTGAAATGTCAACCGTTTGCTTTACGATAAATGAGCATTTTCAAGATATCAAAATGTTATATCTATCTATATTCACTCTTCGCGTTTATGAGTTGTTCCATTTCAGATATACTTGACTTGGACGAACATCAGCATGTTTAATATGTCGTCATGTGTTGTAGATACTCCCCATGCTAGTTGAGATTTATCGCTAAACATTATCATCAGGTTCTGATTATTTGAAATCGATGTGTAAATATTCCAAAATGGAAATCGTGACAACCTCGTTATTCAATCCTGGGATTCGTAGAATTAAATCAAGCTTAAAGTAGTTACCGTGTGTCATTGTCATTCTGCAGTACCGACGACGTGACTCCGACAACAGTACCTATGAGGCTATTCGGTCTTCAATGCCAATGACGCACATCTAACTCCAGTACAGGGAGTGAGTGAGTTGGGTTTAACGCCGCTTTTAACATTATTCCAGTTATATCACAGCGTGTCAGCTTAATGTGGGAGGAAAGCCCGAAGTGATGCAGGTCTCAGACGTTTACCACTTCGGTGAAACCCAAGAGTACGGATATGGTGCTGACAAACCTAGAATCATAATCGGGTCGAGCCGGGATTCGAACCCACAATCAAAGGTTTCTGGCGTGCCCAAGGGACGCAAATCTGCACAGAGAATCGCGGCGCCTTTGAAGACTGGACCACCTGTGCCACTCCAGTACAAATCACGCAACTTTGACTACAGTACCAATGACGCGACTCTGACTGTCAAACTTTGTGAAATATTAACATAGATAACTAATATTTTCATAATTAATATTTGCAACTGTTGTACTCCACGGAGATTTTGTCCCGAAATACCATGCATTATTATTTTAAACTAATAATCGATGAGCCAAATGTAATACGTAAGAAATCGATTTTTTCATAATAGGAAAGGACAAAGGTTCGGCATATACTCTTGTCATTTGAGAAAAATATTAATATCTTAAGCATACCTCTGTATTGACCTCTGTAAACAGTTTTCAATTGAAAAGATCCAGATACAGTTATTTAACCACGCCATTACTGGTGTCCCCCGTCGTGATATTGCTGGAATATTGCTAAAAGCAGCGTAAAACCATACTCACTCACTCATTCACTATTTAACCACAGATAATCGATAGCAATGAAAACCATTTCACATCCGTTTCTCTACAAACCTATATTCCTACAGATGTCATAAACATAGGCATTTTAAGAAATTTGCAACTTTGTAATGGTAAAATTGGTTAGGAAGTGAGTTTGATTTAACTCTGTTTTGAACAGTGATTCAGCCTGATTTGGCGCAGGTCTTAAATGTTTTCCAATTAGATGAAACCAACAAGCACGGGTAATGTTTAGAAACATAACCAGAGCGAATCTGGATTCGAAATACATCAAATAAAAACTTTAAATCCTTACCTATGTTCAGGAACCGCAAACAAAAACACGACTGCCTGTATAACCTGAATAGACCCCGCTATTGCTGGAAGACACAGAAGTACATACAGCCATTTCTGGTACGTCCCAAACTCCCCCAGTTGCCTCAACACGTCGTCAAAGTTCATCGTTCTGAAAAAACACTGACCGAAGTTTAGAAAAAGTGCAGAGAAAATGCAACAGTGCCTCAACACACAGGTTAACACAAGATGTGATGATGAATCGTTAACTTCATTACATGAGAGTAGAAACTGCATGTACCCCCGAGTGCAGGGTACTGTCCCACTATATGTTAATGTTGTACGACCTTGGGCTAGGGTCTTTTATGTACACCTGGATAGCCTGACTTCAACCGTGTCCTACTTGGTGTATTACAACCCCAGGGTTTAAATGAAACCATGCGTGGGTTATTATAATAATGTCGACCACATTTGCTGTACCTCTAGGGTTGTTATGTTGTGTGACCCGTGCCGACTCGGGGTAGAATAGGTGTTCAACAACCCATGTCGTGAAAGGCGACTATGCTTGTCGTAAGAGGCGTCTAACGTAAGTGGCGATAGGGTGGTCCGGCTCGCTGACTTGGTTGATGCATGTCATCGTATTCCATCCGTATCGATGCTTATGATGTCAATCACTGGATTGTCTGGTCCATACTCTCAATTATTTACAGCCCGCCGTCATAAAGCTGGTTTATTGCTGAGTGCGGCGTTAAACAATAAACAAACCAACAAATGTTATGTTGTGTGAAGCGGGATAGGAGGGACATTATATTGATATGAAATTGTTCCATGTTTTGCATCCTATTTATAACCGACGATGTTTTAACCAATTATCAACAGACTGTCTTTGTGTCTTTTTAATGAGTACAAAGTGCATGTGAATAAAAAGTAGGTATTTTGTTAACCGTAGCACTTCTACTTCTGAAGTATTTGGGAAATCAAAGCGTATGCCAAACATTTGTTTGCGTTCATTCCCTATGTATTACAGTGAGACCAATGACACACAAAAATATAATCTAGTATATTAAAACCTCTTTTACATAACTATCTAATTTTATCACAACATGTTTCTAGCAATATGAGATACAAACATATCTACTGATGGATATAAACAATCGTAATTAAGCACAAGTCATTGAGGAAAAAAGTGAAATTCCGGTGAAAGATGGTATTTGTCGTTACACTGTATCACCGGGTCGTAAAACTACGCTATGTCGCGGTCTAGTGACCGTACCGCTCCCTCGCGTTGTTTCTGTCACCGTTCGGCAAACGGTTTTCGTCGGCGAACAATTTTTTGCAGTCTTCGCTAGAGAATTAGTGACCCGACTATTTCGTTCTCTTGTGATTTAATGGCACACTCTTACCATGTATTGACTTTATGTTTGTTATCCCTTATATGTTTGCTACATGTGTTGAACATGGGTTTTTTGGCTTTACTTGTACGCTGTAGCGCGAAATTCCTATGTAGGTACAGATATTTTCATAGGATTTAAGATCGTTTTTGCCTCCTCAATAATTGTACATAGCTTGTAGTAAATCGTTAGTGATACCTGAGGATGGCTAACGTTCAGCGCTTTATTTTGATACTTACATCTGCCGTATGGATATAGTACTTAGATTTTCGTGTTTTTCCCAGGTTAAGAAACACTTTGACTAAGCGCCGCAGACTATTACACTACCCGGATGTCTAGGAGATATAGTCCTCTCCGGGGTCCGAAACTTTAATGACACCACTGATCATTGGAGCACAGCTCCGTAACGCCCTGCCTTGCGCTCGCCATTAAGGGGATACAACAAGAACGGCTTCGCCATTGGTCAGCATACTCTACATCAGTTGGATGGCACTATAACACCAGCATAAAAAATATAAATAAATTAAAATAAAAAGTATTCATGTACAGGTTCATATTGAAACACAAAAATTTAAACCTTCTGGTTATAGGTCTTTGAAAGGCATTTAGAAGTGATACACATAAGAAAGAGAATATATGGATGTCAACTTCTTTATTCTGAGGAACACAACGTTCCGGATTATCGGATTATATGCTTTCTCCTTCATCTGGTAATAAAGAAGTTGACATCCATATATTCTCTTCCTTCTGGTTATATTCGTCAAGCATGCCCTGCTTGACTGTATTGATTTTGCCACCACAAGGGATACTCATTTCAATGTTTCATCTATAAAGGATCTTTTTAATATCAGTTCTCATTTAGTTATTGGTTTTTTTAAAGAAATTGAATTGTACTATATATTTTGATTAATATGTTGTGTATATAATAAACTTTTAATTGGCAGAATAAATGTAATAACTGAGATTGTTAGTGGCTGTATCCTCGAAGGGGGTTGAAGTAATGTAAAATGATTGGCCCCTGGAGAGGGTATGTAAGACCACGTCATTCAAAGTAGATTTATTCTTACATCGGTTTTAAATCGTAGTATATTTGTTAGTTTTAATCAATGGCTAAACTTTCATACAATCGCCAGCGACTGAAGGGATGGTATAAATCCTGCTGGGGTCCATGTAGGTAGCAAAGGCACTATAAGTCCCCATGGTCCAAAGTATGGTGATCTACCTTCAATTGCTGGCGATCTATAACCCGTTTTTACAACGTATTGTTCTCGTTAGTAATAGCTTTTTATGGTCACATACTAGTTTAAAAACCAATTGATATCTGTGATAAGTCTAGTAATTTTACTGTCCTTTGCTGACAGGTTTATATATAGTCTAAATTAATGTTGTTTTTATGTATAAATTGCTTAGTCACGATATGGCTGAAATAATGCCGATGTGACTTTAAATATTAACTCACTCACTCTGGTTATATTCCTTTACCTCCAGGTTGGTAAAACTATCCAAAACAGATTATTTAAACGTACGTTAGTTTGATTTCGGTTTTGAGAGGTAATTTCAAATTTAGTTTTCACTGTGTGTTTTCACCATGAATTCTTGCAGAACACATGTCATTATATTACATGATAAGAAACAATTATCCAATTGCCGGCATAAATTCCGTGTATGCTTAAATGGTGAAAATTGCCATACTTGAAAACAGGCCCTGATATGTTGTATCTGAAATACCACAGCACTTTGTTACCAGGCTGACTGATGACTCGCAAACTGAAGGCGGAGTTGGCCGATAACAACGTCGCCCTCACACAATGCAATGTAACAACTTCAAACGAAGTCAGAAGAAAAAATAATTTTTTATTACACCCGTTTTAATTAATACGTGCTATTAAATGAAGCACCAAATCATTTAAATCGAGCACCTCTATGTCATCTATTTTGAAATAATGAATAAGCTTTAATGCGGATGTGCCAGAAAGATTTAATGCGAATGTGCATATGTCACTCAGGGGAATTGTCGTCCGCCATTGGATAAAACAGTTACATGATTGAAACTCGACAGTGGATACAAAATATCAACGAGCCATCGCTAGACTCGGAGGCTCTGCCCCGCCGTGGTAGAGAGCTCGCTGATTTTTGTAAACACTGTCATCGTGTCATCAAGTTGCAGTTACATATTACCTGATTTGGATATTATTATCAAGGTGTTGCCTGCCTTTTGCGCCACATAACAGATAGCTAAGAGATGATTGCCGAATCGAACTGTTTCGGCGGATAATCTAGACTTGGAATTCTCTTGCATTGACAGCTTATATTAACCCTTAAAGGGCTAGTTCGTCAAACGTTGTAAAGCATTTTTTGCAAACATAAGCAGATAACCCCGAGCTTACTCGGCTCTTTTCACAAATGACTTATCATTATGTTCAACTGAATTATGATGTAATTAATATCTGGCTAGTATGGATTAAAACTATATTAAATATCTATGGACTAACGCATAGTTTCGAGGTAGGCGAGGTACTATTGGAATACAAGAATGGAGAAGCAATGTGAAATTGAGCAGTTAACGCTGAGGTTACAATTAGCAGTATCTGACAGAGGTGCCAACATTTGAAAGACACTGTTATTGACAAAAGGTACCTAAAGCGACAAAACCCTATCATATCCAATAGAAAGCATGTGTTTATGAATCACAATCAAAGAGTAATGATACCGGGTGTTCGCGAAAAGGTGCCGAGGGCATCCATCACAAACACATGCAAAGGCAAGTCAAATGTTGACCTAAAAAAAACACGGGAACATTATGGTACAGGTCAAAATGGGGGATTACATCGGACATCATTTTTGTCACTGATGCGTCGAATTTGGAAATGTCCTCCACATGTCTACCATAAAACTTTTTGCAGGCTTTACTGAGGCCTTGAATGTTGAAACCTCGATGGAACAACTTCTGATCAAGAGTCGTATGACGCTCTTTAAAATATGTGATCCCAATCTTAAAATTCAGAACACGTAACCATTATTTGAAACCGGTCGTTGGAATAATATAATCGTGTATGTGAACTGTGGAATTCTCCTTCAGCTGCAGACGAATTCCTTTGTGTTTAGATGTCAGGCTCTGTTAAAACATGGACTTGTGTGTACTTACCAATTGCTTATCAGAGTAAATGGTCTAAATTGTACATGTATACTTTTAAGATATTTTTGTCCAGTCAAAACTCTAGAGATCGTAAGGACCTATCTTGGTATGTCGATGAAATATATAAAGCTGTAAGAAAATACTAACTAGAAAAGTTTTTATGTCCATGAATGCTGTCATCTCGTCATATACTCACCCGCAAAAGAAACGCAAGTTGTACATAAAATGCGGATAAGTTTAAGAGCATAAAACATATATAGATAATATTAAGAAATGATAACAGGGAAAACATTTGATACCAAATGGACGTTGATTGTTTGATGACAAGTGGGTGTTTATTGAGATATCCCCCCGAAAACAGGGTACCCCCAACCAGAAGAATGACAAGTGTCAGTCGTGTCCATCAAAAGCGTCTGTGGCCTCCGTTAGCTGCGATACAGGCCCCGCGTCGCCGTCTCCTTGAGTCGACAAGTATTTGAAAGAAGGCTTGAGGAATCCCGTTCGATTCCAGGACCAAAGAGGCTTCCAGGTCCTGAAGTGTATGTGGCTGCCTGAAGACGTCTCCCCATCTCGTCCCAGACATGATCACTTGGCTCCATGTCCGGTGACAAAGACGGACAGGACATCACAGGAATGTTATTCACTCTGAGGAAGTGCATAGCGACCCATGCTGTATGGGGACAAGCGTTGCCCTGCTGAAAGACCTGGGCCCACTTGCACAAAGCGATCTTAGCGCTAAGATGATCTTAACTCCCATACTTTAACATGGGCTTACAATAG